CTCCCGGGAGGAAGGGGCAGGGGCAGCGATGGCGCCGCGTGGCACCTCCCGGCCTGCCGCGCCGTCGCCCCTCGCCACAGCCGGCCCTCGAGCCCCCACACCCAGCCTGGCTAGGTTTCGCATTAAAAAAACGGTTCATCTATCACAGCGGAGGAAAATGCTTTATGGCCCCAACAGGAGGAGAAAGGAGCCTCGGTAATTATCTCCTTTGCAGATGAAAAACAGCAAAGAGAGGAGCTCTCACCCTGACAAATTCAAAGGTTCGGGTTTGGCTTCTCTGAAGTAAAATCAACGGCAGCACCAACCTGCAACCGCATCAAGGCTGAAACCTCCCCACCCGCCTTAAAACACTCAACTGTTCAGACACGGGCTGAAAACGTACAAAATCCTACTCCGAATGCAGAGGCACCGCTGCTTTTTTATTTTTTAAAGATACGAGAATCTACTTAGAGAAAAGAAAAACTCTCGTGCAGATATGAGTCTAAAGATATTCCATCTGAAGTAAACATCATTCCTCTTTTATCCAAATTTATAAACAACAAATGTACAATATTTTTACTCAGCTTGGCAGCTGGAGGAGAGGTTGTCAGCAAGCATTCTTTTTTTCAAATAAATTAATCCTTACTCTGGTGGTTTGAGATTATGCACTGTATTATACAACAGTGCCTTATCAGGCCTCATCAGTGAAGATGGAATTCATGTCTGTAAAATGCTGCAGGCAATCACAGTTTCATATTTTATCATGTTGATAAGGATATCGCAAATTCTCTGAAGCATTTCAAAACACTTAAACGAAAAAGGAGAAATGCAACTAAAAGGCTTTTTATATGGTTTGTTGTGGGTTATTATGAGTTATTTATAAACCCAAAAAGAAAGATTTGACGTTTCAAATGTAAAAGATTTGAGTATTTAATGGTACTTTTTTCCCTTTACAATTGAACATCTTCAATCACATTTTAAATCATTAATATTTACTCTCGTGGCAAGTGGAAACCCAAAAAAGGGGGAAAAAACCTCCCACTCCCTGTGGCTGCAGCATCTCACGCCGGGTCTCCCCGTGTTCCCGCAGGGACCCACCTCTCAGCACCCGCATCCCGACCCACAGCGGGTTGGGAAACGCCGGGGCAGCCCCTGGGACGGGGGAGACGGTCGCTGGGCAGGGAACGCCCGACAGTCATTTTGAAGTCCATGAATATGAAGGAAAACAAATGAAAGTCACCTCCCAAGCAAGCTCGAAACGTTAACAAAAAAAATTAAAGCATTAATTGTTGAAGCTGTAAATGGGAGAAGCAAGCTGGAAATGAAGGATGAAAAGGATCTGCTGCGGAGCCCTCGCCACAGAGGCTGCTGCTGCGGGCGGTATTTCATCCCCGGCTTCCACGCCGACAGAAGAACAGATCTCGGCGTTTATTTATCCTGGCGCCTCACGCGCAGGCTGCGGGGCCCAGCCCGCGGGCCCCGAGCACTGTCAGACCTCGTCGCTTACAGCCAGAGGTGGGACATTCAGCACCTATCGCCATCAAGCCTACAATCCCTCAGTTTACTAGCATCTGCCTGCCAGACCTACTGCTCTCTCCCGTTTGGAGTAACAAGGCCAAAAGCACTTCCCAAACAGAGGACAGATGGGTCCCCTTGAAATGGCTAAAAGTACGTCACAGCACAGTGCCGGGTCTGACCGCAGCAATAACACACACGTCCCAAGTTATCTGGCCATCTCTGTGCCGAGAACAAGAGCCCTCTCACCAGGGCTATTACTTTTTAACCCATAAGGCTGGGGAATATAAAAATTCGAATCACGTATAGTCACAGCCCGAGGAATTTCTCTCTTCTTCCATTATCAAGACTCGCAGCTGTATCAAGGGCCACTCTGCGGTTCATCCCCAAAGATGCGATATTAAAATACGCTATTGCAGGAGTAATTAATACGTGTATTAATGACTGCATTTACCTGCCACCGTGCTTATAGCTCTGCAAACTATTGTTCCCCCGGGTACTCACATTTAAATTATGTGGACTGTACAGTGAATTTCCTCCCAAGCCATCATTGTATCCTCCCGTCTGATTGATAACATGACGCAGGGTATCCACCTTAAAGTAAGGGGAAACAAAATTCATCATTCCCAATCTATTAAAACATCATCACTTACAATAGGCAACATTTTGAATTATGTGAGCCAAAAGGGTTTAGCATCTTCTATGAAAGGCAAATTTATCAATCAAGAATGACTGGCGGAATTTCAGCAAATCCTCGCATGTTAAAAACCATACGTCTTTGCTTCTCACGCCAGCCAAACAACAACTTCCTCACAGCAGTGCGTCCTGTAGGTCCTTCTTAAGTGTCTGCAGCAAAGTGCTGGGCATATTTATACGTCTGTACGTGCTTGCATGTATGGGAAGAGATTATGGCATATATACTGCGTATAAAACATGGAGTTAGCCCTGTCTGGAAGGATTGGAGAAGTGACCGAGAATGAGTTGTATTTTAATAGCTCAGTTAGATGTGTTCTGACATTTAAATAAATGAATAAATAAAGGTTTGTGCAATAAATGTAAGGAAGATGGTAGGTTTAAAAAAAAAAAAAAAGGCAAAAAAAGCAAAAAGGAAAGGAAAAAAGAAAGAAAATTCACTGGGTTTACAGTGTCCATGGAAGTCAGACGCACCCAATCCCATTCCATGAGCTCAAGCCAGAGCCGAATGCATTCACAAAGCTTAAAGTTTCAATCAGAAAAAAATCACTCTTTCCTTTATATTTGTGAAATTCAATGCTGGGGTAAGAATAGGTCACATTCAGAAGTATGCAGCCTCCACTCTGCAGCGAGGCACAGACCATTGAATAGAGCCAGAGTAAGGCGGAATTTTTAGCCCAAACCCTACCCTGCTAGAAAGGCCCGACTTTGGGGCATTTCTCCTACCTGTGACTGCACATTGGCTCCGACTTGGGACCCCTGGTAAGAATCCCCATTCAGACTCTGCATGTTCATGAACATGTCCCCAGAATTTGGGAGGTTAAAAGAACCAGAAGAACCTGGAAAGGAAAGAGTTAGGTAGCTGAATAACAGAGAGCTGCAAATATATAACCCCAGAGACCTGAGGGCAGGGGAAGGAGAAGAAGACAGGAGAGGAGAAGGAAAGGCAGCGCGCAGCAGAGGGAAAGCTGCCGGCCCGGGCGCAGGGCGAGCTCGGGCCACCGGCCCCCCGCCTCCCGCAGCCGGTCCCACGCCGGGAGAGCCCGGACGCCCCGTGAGACCTGGGTCGGCTTTTCCCTCTGGAAGAGCAGCCGGTACAAGGACAGGCCTCCGTGCCGAGAGCCCTCCTCCAGCGGATCGCTTCCTCGGGAGATGCCATCACCAAACTCTCCCAGGAAAACTCATTCTGAGCCTGCGCTTAATGTCTCCTTCAAAAGGAAATGGCTGGCAACGTCTAATTAGTGGATTTATTGCCGTCGGAAGAGGAACCTTTTTCTCACTTTCTTTTGATTAAAGTTGTTGTGGTTTGGTTTTTTTTTCTCCCATGGATCTTTATACCCTTTAAAAGTTGTCTACGACTAAGTCACGGCAAAACTTCGCTGTAAACAGTGTCAGACACATCTGTGCTTCGTGGAAACCTTTGCCTCTGGAGCCCAAAAAAGCAACTTCCTCTTCACACGCTCCCGCTACTAATTTAATGCTTAGATTTGCAAAATGTCAACAACACACTAGCGAGACAATTTTTAAATACTGCAGAAGAACACATGGTAGAGCAACTCCAAAATAAAAGCTGCATCCTTAGCTTTCTATATATAATATCAACTCCATTTCAAGCAGCCCAGGGTTTAAACTCTAATTAGTGCATGCTAAAATATTCCTCTATTTTGTTCTTATCTTGACAATAAATTTAACAGCTCTACAAAAACAGACTTGGAGCTCCGTCTCATCCTATTTTATGTTATTTTCACTGAATGAGAGAAAGCTTAAAATATCTGCGGAAACGCTGCCAGCAGCCCGAGCCAGGCAGACGCTGCTGCTGCGGGAGGTACAGGGGCCGCGCTCCGCTCCCCTGCGAGGCCGCGGGAGCTTCGCCGCCGAAGGCGCCGGGACCAGCTACGGCAGCGCCCGGCCCGCAGCCCCCCGGGCCACGAGTGGGTCTGCGAGGGAGCCGCAGCCTCCTTGGCCCGACCGCACGCGCGAGGCCGCCATCGAGGGTCTTCCTTCGGGGCCTGCCCCTCGGGGTGATCATCGCACGGGCCCGGTACGTACCAGAGTTTGGTGTGGTGGGGGAGTTTGTCTGGTTGTTCTGGACGGCCGCGGCCACGGCGTGCGCTGCGGTCACGGCCGTCTTTGCCGCGTAGAGATTGGCTTCTTCCTGGAACTTCCCGATGTTCTTCTTGTACCTGATTCTCTTATTGCCAAACCAGTTGGACACCTGCAGCGGGGAGAGGTGGGAAGGGTGAAGGACACAAAGCGCTTGGCCTGGCAAAGCGTGACCCCTCTCAGATGTCGCGTTTGGGGAGCAAAGAGGCGTGTCCCCGCCCCCCTGGGTACCAGCAGCGAGGGGCACTCGCGTGTCGCTGCGGCCGCGAGCCTGACCCGGCTCTGCCCCTGCTGCAGACCGACGCACGAGGGGTGACTCTGGTGACAAGACATATCCTGGAGCTTGCTGTAGCATTTAGCACAGCACTGTCTCCTGCTTCTATGAGCCATTTGTCAACAAAATCAGTGCAAGACCCCGAAAGCTGCTGAAGGGGGACTGAGGTTCGGTTGAGTGAGGGCGAGCGGGCAGCGAGAGCAATTGTTCTTTATTTTTGGGCTGGAACAACCTTGGCAGCCCGCTCATAGAACCACGTTTGGTTGGCTGAAAATGAAAGAAATCGTATAAATCAATAATGGCTGAAAAGTCACTTTGTCATCTCCCTTTGAAGATCCTGTACTGAAGCCAAGGTGGCTCACGGGGCACTGACTGTTAACCCACGCGGAGGTCACGGCTGGAGCCGCTCAGGAAAAGTTCGTGCAATCTTTCTCGG